GAATTCCGTAAAGGAGTGTGGAAGAGGTGAAAAAATTGTTATTGTCTATTAACAATGTCAAGCCACCTGGGTCTGACAACTTGGATGGAAAATTGCTGAGGATAATAGCGGACGATATTGCCACTCCTATTTGCCATATTTTCAATTTAAGCCTACTAGAATGTGCATGTCCCCAGGCTTGGAGGGAAGCAAAAGTCATTCCGCTACCTAAGAATAGTAAAGCCCCCTTTACTGGCTCAAATAGCCGACTAATTAGCCTGTTACCAACCCTTAGTAAACTATTGGAAAACATTGTGTTTGACCAGATACAATGCTATTTTACTGTAAACAAATTGATAACAAACTTTCAGCATGCTTCGAGAGAAGGACATTTAACAAGCACAGCACTTACACAAATGACTGATGATTGGCTGAGATAAATTGATGATAAAAAGATTGTGGGGGCTGTTTTGTTAGACTTTAGTGCAGCGTTTGACATTATCGATCATAGTCTGCTGCTGGAAAAATGTATATGTTATGGCTTTACACCCCCTGCTATAATGTGGATAAAGAGTTACTTACAGTGGGGAAAAAAAGTATTTAGTCAGCCACCAATTGTGCAAGTTCTCCCACTTAAAAAGATGAGAGAGGCCTGTAATTTTCATCATAGGTACACGTCAACTATGACAGACAAATTGAGAAAAAGAAATCCAGAAAATCACATTGTAGGATTTTTAATGAATTTATTTGCAAATTATGGTGGAAAATAAGTATTTGGTCACCTACAAACAAGCAAGATTTCTGGCTCTCACAGACCTGTAACTTATTCTTTAAGAGGCTCCTCTGTCCTCCACTCGTTACCTGTATTAATGGGACCTGTTTGAACTTGTTATCAGTATAAAAGACACCTGTCCACAACCTCAAACAGTCACACTCCAAACTCCACTATGGCCAAGACCAAAGAGCTGTCAAAGGACACCAGAAACAAAATTGTAGACCTGCACCAGGCTGGGAAGACTGAATCTGCAATAGGTAAGCAGCTTGTTTTGAAGAAATCAACTGTGGGAGCAATTATTAGGAAATGGAAGACATACAAGACCACTGATAATCTCCCTCGATCTGGGGCTCCATGCAAGATCTCACCCGTGGGGTCAAAATGATCACAAGAACGGTGAGCAAAAATCCCAGAACCACACGGGGGGACCTAGTGAATGACCTGCAGAGAGCTGGGACCAAAGTAACAAAGCCTACCATCAGTAACACACTACACCGCCAGGGACTCAAATCCTGCAGTGCCAGACGTGTCCCCCTGCTTAAGCCAGTACATGTCCAGGCCCGTCTGAAGTTTGCTAGAGTGCATTTGGATGATCCAGAAGAGGATTGGGAGAATGTCATATGGTCAGATGAAACCAAAATAGAACTTTTTGGTAAAAACTCAACTCGTCGTGTTTGGAGGACAAAGAATGCTGAGTTGCATCCAAAGAACACCATACCTACTGTGAAGCATAGGGGTGGAAACATCATGCTTTGGGGCTGTTTTTCTGCAAAGGGACCAGGACGACTGATCTGTGTAAAGGAAAGAATGAATGGGGCCATGTATCGTGAGATTTTGAGTGAAAACCTCCTTCCATCAGCAAGGGCATTGAAGATGAAACGTGGCTGGGTCTTTCAGCATGACAATGATCCCAAACACACCACCCGGGCAACGAAGGAGTGGCTTCGTAAGAAGCATTTCAAGGTCCTGGAGTGGCCTAGCCAGTCTCCAGATCTCAACCCCATAGAAAATCTTTGGAGGGAGTTGAAAGTCCGTGTTGCCCAGCGACAGGCCCAAAAAATCACTGCTCTAGAGGAGATCTGCATGGAGGAATGGGCCAAAATACCAGCAACAATGTGTGAAAACCTTGTGAAGACTTACAGAAAACGTTTGACCTGTGTCATTGCCAACAATGGGTATATAACAAAGTATTGAGAAACTTTTGTTATTGACCAAATACTTATTTTCCACCATAATTTGCAAATAAAATCATTAAAAATCCTACAATGTGATTTTCTGGATATTTTTTTCTCATGTTGTCTGTCATAGATGACGTGTACCTATGATGAAAATTACAGGCCTCATCTTTTTAAGTGGGAGAACTTGCACAATTGGTGGCTGACTAAATACCCCACTGTATGGAATGGCCATTAGGGACACATACAGTGTGGAGAACAAGTATTTGATACACTGCCGATTTTGCAGGTTTTCCTACTTACAAAGCATGTAGAGGTCTGTAATTTTTATCATAGGTACACTTCAACTGTGAGAGACGGAATCTAAAACAAAAATCCAGAACATCACATTGTATGATTTTTAAGTAATTAATTTGCATTTTATTGCATGACATAAGTATTTGATACATCAGAAAAGCAGAACTTAATATTTGGTACAGAAACCTTTGTTTGCAATTACAGAGATCATATGTTTCCTGTAGGTCTTGAACAGGTTTGCACACACTGCAGCAGGGATCTTGGCTCACTCCTCCATACAGACCTTCTCCAGATCCTTCAGGTTTTGGGGCTGTCGCTGGGCAATACGGACTTTCAGCTCCCTCCAAAGATTTTCTATTGGGTTCAGGTCTGGAGACTGGCTAGGCCACTCCAGGACCTTGAGATGCTTCTTACGGAGCCACTCCTTAGTTGCCCTGGCTGTGTGTTTCGGGTCGTTGTCATGCTGGAAGACCCAGCCACGACCCATCATCAATGCTCTTACTGAGGGAAGGAGGTTGTTGGCCAAGATCTCGCGATACATGGCCCCATCCATCCTCCCCTCAATACGGTGCAGTCGTCCTGTCCCCTTTGCAGAAAAGCATCCCCAAAGAATGATGTTTCCACCTCCATGCTTCACGGTTGGGATGGTGTTCTTGGGGTTGTACTCATCCTTCTTCTTCCTCCAAACACAGCGAGTGGAGTTTAGACCAAAAAGCTATATGTTTGTCCCATCAAACCACATTACCTTCTCCCATTCCTCCTCTGGATCATCCAGATGGTCATTGGCAAACTTCAGACGGGCCTGGATATGCGCTGGCTTGAGCAGGGGGACCTTGCGTGCGCTGCAGGATTTTAATCCATGATGGCGTAGTGTGTACTAATGGTTTTCTTTGAGACTGTGGTCCCAGCTCTCTTCAGGTCATTGACCAGGTCCTGCTGTGTAGTTCTGGGCTGATCCCTCACCTTCCTTATGATCATTGATGCCCCACGAGGTGAGATCTTGCATGGAGCCCCAGACCGAGGGTGATTGACCGTCATCTTGAACTTCTTCCATTTTCTAATTATTGTGGCAACAGTTGTTGCCTTCTCACCAAGCTGCTTGCCTATTGTCCTGTAGCCAATCCCAGCCTTGTGCAGGTCTACAATTGTATCCCTGATGTCCTTACACAGCTCTCTGGTCTTGGCCATTGTGGAGAGGTTGGAGTCTGTTTGATTGAGTGTGTGGACAGGTGTCTTTTATACAAGTAACGAGTTCAAACAGATGCAGTTAATACAGGTAATGAGTGGAGAACAGGAGGGCTTCTTAAAGAAAAACTAACAGGTCTGTGAGAGCCGGAATTCTTACTGGTTGGTAGGTGATCAAATACTTATGTCATGCAATAAAATCCAAATTAATTACTTAAAAATCATATAATGTGATTTTCTGGATTTTTGTTTTAGATTCAGTCTCTCAAAGTTGAAGTGTACCTATGATAAAAAATTACAGACCTCTACATGCTTTGTAAGTAGGAAAACCTGCAAAATCGGCAGTGTATCAAATACTTGTTCTCCCCACTGTATACTGTCTTGTCTACCTTGTCTATTTGTTATTGACCATGGGATGTCTAGCATGGGATGTCGGTTGAATAACTGATAACGGATAATGCTTTTAAGAGGCAGATGTAAATTAATAAACTACTTTGTCCATTTGGCTCTGCCTCGTCAACGTCACGTCCAAGGTGACTCTGCTCTGCCTTGTGACGAGGTGTCCACTGATAAGACAGCAGTCACGCATGAGAGTGTGGTGTGTGTGTATTTGTGTGTGTGTTGTGTTCAATCCAGTTTGTGTGTGGGACAGCTCATTAGACCTTACATTTTTTATCAAACTGATGCTTTCACAACTTCCTGACAATAAATACAAACCAGATAAACAATATAGTATCCAATATGAGGGAACGGATGGAATCGAATCTAAGCCAGGTCATTCACAGATCACAGGTGAGACTACAGTCATAGAGAGACACTGATGCTACAGTTACCAATCTACCCAAAGGTTAGCACTAGAATATATTATTATGTCTAGTCAGATCACTCACAGGTGAGCCTAGTAAGCAACCTATCCAACGGTCAGCACAGATTATTATGGCTAAAGTCCTAGATCGCCACTGGTGCTAACTAATCTATCTAATGGTCAGACTCAGAACAGATAAATATGGGAAGTAATGATCTCACCCTGATCCTAACCAATCTTTCCAAGGGTCAAAATGACAGATTAGTATAGGTACAGTGAGACTAGATCGCATCATAAGTGTTTATAAATCCACAGCTTCAGACTCAAGCCCTAGCCATAACACTAGTCTAACGGATTTGGGAATTGAACTCTGCTCTTCAATGCAAAAGCCCAATCATTTAGATTCTAACCGTTTATTCTAAGAACTCAAAACCCCATTAGCATGACTCCAGATGTTGAGTGTTCCATGATGGATAATTCCATGCAGAAATTATGTAATAGGGGATCTAGATTACAGAACCTCCCCTAACAGTGTTCCCTAAAAGCACCCAAACAGAGATGGCTTGCATCCCAAATGGCACCCTATTCCCTACATAGTGCACTACCTTCGACCAGAGCACTTGGGATGCAGACATGGTGCTACTGCAGTTCTGTCTGGGAACCTCCTCACCCCAGGGGCGAGGGTGTTTAAGATCTGTGAGGGCTTTTCAAAATCCTCTTTCAGAGCCACCGAGCAGGATGGGGATGTTATGATCTGTGTGTCTGTGAGTGCAGTGCACCACCCCTAAAATACAGGCCCAGAGTAGGCATAATCCACCTGAGAGAATTGAAAAATATATAAAAGCTTTGAAAATAATACATCACTTACCTCATGATGAAAACTAACAACATAAGATGGAAGACCAGGTGCAGGAAACCATAGTGTTGATAAATAATGATAATAAAAACAAAAGCATAATAAAAACATAATATGATTTTATATTAAGTAAGGGCTTACCTTCTCTTGGTACTGCCTGCGGGACGAGTCCAGTGATTGGATGAGAGCGGTGGCGTGGCCGACGAACATGGCGTAGCAGGTGGCGCCCACAATCATACTGAGCATGGTGATCCACAGGTCGGACATGCTGACGGGCGCCCGGGCGCCGTACCCGATACACAGCATGTGGCTCATGGCCTTGAAGAGAGCGTACGAGTACTGCTTACCCCACGAGTCATTCTGTAGGGGAGACGAGGGGAGGATGGGGGAGAGGGAAGGAGACAAAATGGGAGTTACCGCGGGCTTGTAGAAGATTTCCGGCACAGAGCGAGGAGAGAGAGGAGGCTCTTTCTCTTTGATGGATCACTGAACCTCCACAGAACATCCTGCCAACATACCCTTCATGCTTGGGCGCGTCACGCTCACAGAGTGACTAAACCACCCCTCCCTCCCTCTCCTCTCTCGCTCCCTCACTCCTCCTTGGCCGACGCGTGTAAAACAATTGATGCGGTGCTAATAAACATCTATTACTTCCATTAGCTGTGGAAGAGCTGACGTATAGTTTGTCTTTGACCTAGGGATCCTTCACTTCACTGTGCTGGACGGAGGAAGCAGAGAGGTGAGGGTTCTGCCTGGCTTCTGCCTTTTCTCCTCTGCATCCCAAATGGCACCCTTCTGCATCCCAAATGGCACCCTATTCCCTACATAGTGCACTGCTTTTTACCAGAGCTCTATGGGCCCTGGTCAAAAGTAGTGTACTATACAGGGAACAGGGTGCCCTTTGGGACATAACCCTTCTTATGGCCGATTACCACGAGTGCTTTAATGGGATTCACTGCGGAGAGGCAGAAATACGGTCCTGTCAGGACCAAGGCACTATGATTCAGCCCAGATACTATAAACCCTGCTGGAGCAAGGCCTAGACTATGCATCTGGTACATTGGTTTGAATCGATAGCATACAGTATTCATACAACTACATTCCTCAGCATTGATTATCAGCATAGTCTCCTGATGATCCTTACTGTTGCTGGAAATGTAAATCAATCAAATGTATTTATAATGCCCTTTTTTTCATCAGCAGTTGTCACAAAGTGCTTATCCACTAAATGCAAGTGCTTATACAGTGTGGAAATTAAAGCTGTAAATGTACAATTGTACTGAAATGTAATCTTGATAATGGATGCTCTGATTTTGAAAAGGAAGAGACTGCAGCGACAGCACTGGTAGGTGGCATACAAGAAAAGACAACTCCGATAAAAGAGAGCATGTTCATCAACCAACCTGCTAAATTCCTCAAAATAAATCAGATCCTGCAGTTCTAGCGTACAGGTTTCAAAGGCTTGCAGGTAGGGAGCTGAGTAATTAACAGACTGGAGGTGGCATACAAGACAGCAGCAGAGAAAGAAAGATCTGGGTAAAGTGCAATAGTTGCAGGCACTACATCAACGGTATAAGACAGCACACTTGAGGTGGCTTCCAAGACAGCGGCAGCAAAAAATATAGTAGGTATTTGTTATAAAGTATAACAGTATGGTGTGTTATGTATGAGACACTGGAGGTGGCAATGGATGTAATAAAGTACAACAGTACGGTGTGATGAAGCCTAGCACACACTGGAGGTGGCACAGCAGGAAAAGAAAGAACATAAAATGTGACACAGGTGATGCATCAACACAAGTTAAAGACAGAGCACTGGAGGTAGCGTTGCAAACAACACCAGTAAAATACAGAACATAGAATGAATGTTATATATAGTACAACGGTGTTTGAGACAGTGGGGGTTGGGAGTGATTAACAGCAATGTTCTAGAGTTGTATGAGTAGTTCTTTCTATGAAGTGTTCTGCTGGAATACTTCCTCAGCACTTTTAGTTCACAGAAAGAGAGAAACAGGAGAGAAAATTGGAGGAGTCAGCAACTCAGGAGGAGCAACTACAAGAGACTGTACCAGGGAGCTGTCACATCCGTCTTCCCAAATTGAGCTTAGGTGCCTTGCCGGGAGTAATAGTGTGCATCCCAGATGGCACCCTATACACCTTCTAGTGCCTATAGAGGCCCATAGGGCTCTGGTCAAAAGTAGTACTATAAGTGAATAGGGAATAGGGTGCAAATTTGGTCGTAGTCACAGAAGTAGGGGCCTGTTTGGTGGCTTGCTAGCCATATTATATGACTCTATTCTCTTTGTTATGTTTTATTTATTTTATAAAATCAACATTGAAGTCTTCAAGGCAAGTGGCTTGCAGGAGGGTGGAATGTATGCAGCTGGGAAGTGGGTTAGCAGCTCAGGAGATATAAAGAATATCCTGACCTGGAGGCTTCTGACATTTTTGACATTTATTTAAGATGAGCAATGTAACAAACAGTTCACTGGGCTCAGGGTTTGGTTGTATGGTTGCAGCCAAAAAAATCAAAAGGGGTCAAAAAGGCAAGCAGTTTGAATAAGATGGACTTGCCTTGAAAGAAAATATTCTGAAGGCTTATTTTTATTTTCCTATACAGTGCATTCGGAAAGTATTCAGACCCCTTGACTTCTTCCACATTTTGTTACGTTACAGCCGTATTCTAAAACTGATTAAATTGCTTTTGTCCCTCATCAATCTACACACAATATCCCATAATGACAAAGCAAAAACTGGATTTTAGAAATGTTTTCAAATTAAATTAAATATCACATTTACATAAGTATTCAGACCCTTTACTCAGTACTTTGTTGAAGCACCTTTGACAGCGATTACAGCCTCGCGTCTTCGTGCGTATGACGCTACAAGCTTGGCACACCTGTATTTGGGGAGTTTCTTACATTCTTCTCTGCAGATCCTGTCAGGTTGGATGGGGAACGTTGCTGCACAGAGATCGGGTTCAAGTCCGGGCTCTGGCTGGGCCACTCAAGGACATTCAGAGACTTGTCCTGAAGCCACTCCTGCGTTGTCTTGGCTGTGTGCTTAGGGTAATTGTCAAGATCTGTGAGGGCCTCTCTGTACTTTGCAGCGTTCATCTTTCCCTCGATCCTGACTAGTTTCCCAGTCCCTGCTGCTGAAAAACAGCCCACAGCATGATGCCTCCACCCCCATGCTTCACTGTAGGGATGGTGCCAGGTTTCCTCCAGATGTGACACTTGGCATTCAGGCCAAATAGTTCAATCTTGGTTTCATCAGACCAGAGAATCTCGTTTCTTATGGTCTGAGATTCCTTTAGGTGCCTTTTGGCAAACTCCGAGCAGGCTGTCATGTGCCTTATACTGAGGAGTAGCTTCCATCTGGCCACTTTACCATAAAGGCCGGATTGGTGGAGCGCTGCAGAGATTGTTGTCCTTCTGGAAGGTTCTCCCATCTCCACAGAGGAACTCTTTAGCTTAGTCAGAGTGACCATCGGGTTCTTGGTCATCTCCCTGACCAAGGCCCTTCTCCCTCTATTGCTCAGTTTGGCTGGGCGGCCAGCTCAAGGAAGAGTCTTAGTGGTTCCAAACTTCTTCCATTTAAGAATGATGGAGGCCACTGTGTTCTTGGGGACATTCAATACTGCAGAAATTTTTTGGTACCCTTCCCCAAATCTGTGCCTCGACACCATCCTGTCTCGGATCTCTACGGACAATTCCTTCGACCTCATGGTTAGATTTTTGCTCTGACATGCACTGTCAACTGTGGGAACTTATATAGACAGGTGTGTGCCTTTCCAAATAATGTCTAATCAATTGAATTTACCACAGGTGGACTCCAATCAAGTTGTAGAAACATCTCAAGGATGATCAATGGAAACAGGATGCATCTGAGCTCAATTTCGAGTGTCATAGCACAAGGTCTGAATACTTATGTAAATATGGTATTTCTGTTTTTTATTTTTTATAAATTTGCAAACATTTCTAAAGACCTGTTTTCGCTTTGTCATTATGGGGTACTGTGTGTAGATTGATAAGGATTTGCTTTCATTTAATCAATTTTAGAACAAGGCTGTAACGTAACAAAATGTGGAAAAAGGGAAGGGGTCTGAATACTTTCCGAATGCACTGTATATCCTTACTCTAGTATTCCATATGCTTGTGAAAATTAAACAATACTGAATAAACATTCAATTTCAAAGATTTTACTGAGTTACAGTTCATATAAGTAAATCTGTCAATTGAAATAAATTCATTAGGCCCAAGGCTATAAATTCCTACTGTCAGCGGGCGGTTGGCGTTTGCGTTTAAGACATGATTTGCATCTCTTGTGGGTAGCCCCCATTCAGAGGACCACTATAAGCCCTATAGCCATGAGTTAATTTGAAAGACAATAGCAAGGAGTTTTTCTAATCTCAAATTCGGTCTGCCACCTTCCAGCTAACCATGGCCAGCCAGATGCTGCAAGCTGTTTTTGTTGTTATAAATACCTTACATTTATTGTGATTTTAATTTGATTTGATTTATTTGCCAATTCATAAAATCACAATTCAACCACACATGTGGACACAATGCATTTCAAAACATTGGTACACCTAATAATTTACAGTTTAAGTACATTAATGATATATTGATCGTGCCCAAAAATAGCCTTGATTCTTGTCATTGATTTAATATAGGCTACTATATTTGAGGTAATACAACAGTTCTTTTCTAGCAATAAAGGATTTCGCTTTGTTAAGAGAGGCCACTCCCAAAACCGCCTCACCCACTTGAAGAAAAGTTTGATCACTGTCATTAAGGGTGAAATTGTCTATGGTCATGAAACCAATTTTAGCTTATTAGGCTAATTCATAGCCTAAATTACTAAATTGCATTGCTTCAAACTAAGTTAAAATAAAAGCCACATCCAATGTTGCAACTTGCTTTGTAAATAATTGACATTGCCAGTATTTCAATGAAGCCTGCATTGCTAAACTGTTTGAATCCACAGCCATTTCATTGAGGATGTTAGCCTTTTGAACTGTGACCAATAATAGAGGAGAGTAAACTCAATCTACCCACTTTTTACCCTCCTTTGCCAATGAAATGTTATTTGCATGAAGGTTTTTGATAAAGGCTACAGTCTATGATTCAGACTCTCAATCCTGCCAATAGAGAAAAGGACACTACGTACAGTAGTTGGCAGCACCTCTAAAACCCCACAGAAGAAGCAGAAAAGCTGAAATTCAACAGGAAGTTCCCATAAAACCATTGAACCTAGGTTAGTAGCAAGAAGAATGGCACATTTTGGAAAGAAAACTATTTGGAATTTTGGAAAGAAAACTATTTGGAACTATTTTTGTATTTATCACCACCGAACATTTTGAAATATCTAACAAATAATACACTAGCGGCACCCATTAAATCGATATAGATACAGTTGAAGTTGGAAGTTTACATACACTTAGGTTGGAGTCATTAAAACTAATTTTTCAACCACTCCACACATTTTTTGTTAACAAACTATAGTTTTGGCAAGTCGGTTAGGACATCTACCTTGTGCATAACACAAGTAATTTTACCAACAATTATTTACTGACAGATTATTTCACTTATAATTCACTGTATCACAATTCCAGTGGGTCAGAAGTTTATATACACTAAGTTGACTGTGTCTTTAAACAGCTTGGAAAATTCCAGAAAATGGTGTCATGGCTTTAGAAGATTCTGATCGGCTAATTGACATCATTTGAGTCAATTGGAGGTGTACCTGTGGATGTATTTCAAGGCCTACATTCAAACTCAGTGCCTCTACTCCTGTTTCAACAGCTGAACCCTGGGCTGAATACTGCACCCTACCACACACTTACCATTTATTAATATTCTGTACACACTGAAATCACTTAAATCTACCAGACAAATTAAATAGTTATGTCACTTTAATGCACTACTATTGTACATACTTTCATATAATTATATGCTGCTTCTGCACTGTACCTTATTCCACTTACTATGCACATGGACAAACACATGTCCATACTATATCCCTATAGCCTATTTTCTATCCTTATTTTCTTTTATCTGCATGCCTCTTGAACTTTATTATTTTATTTAGTATTTGTATTATTGTTTGTATGTTATATATTTACAATATCACTTACTTGATTAATATGTCACTTTTGTCGCTATTGCACTGCGAGAATCCTGCAATATGACAATAACATTTGATTTGACTGGATTTGATTTGTCATCACCAGTGGATCCAGGTGACCAGGACCCCTCGCTATCTGATATACTGTAACTTGGGGGTAGAAGCTGTTCAGGGTACTGTTAGTTCCAGACTTGGTGCATCGGTACTGCTTGCTGTGCGGTAGCAGAGAGAACAGTTTATGACTTTGGTGGCTGGAGTCTTTGATCATTTTTAGGGCTTTCCTCTGACACCGCCTGGTATAGAGGTCGTGGATGGTAGGGAGCTCATCCCCAGTGATTTACTGGACCGTACCCACTACCCTCTGTAGCGCCTTGTGGTCGGATACCAAAATGTAGCCATACCAAGCAGTGATGCAGCCAGTCAAAATGCTCTCAATGGTGCAGCTGTATAACTTTTTGAGGATCTGAGGGCCCATGCCAAATATTTTCCCCCTCCTGAGGGGGATGAGGTGTTGACGTGCCCTCTTCACAACTAAGTTCCTTAGTGATGTGGACACAGAGAAACATGGAGCTCTCGACCTGTGCTCAGCTATCCATTTCCCATAGTTCACGATCAGCTCCTTTGTCTTGTTGATGTTGAGGGAAAGGTTGTTGTCCTGGCACCACACTGCTAGGTCTCTGACCCTCTCCCAGTAGGCTGTCTCATCGTCGTCAGTGATCAGGCCTACCACCGTTGTGTCGTCTGCAAACTTAATGATGGTGTTGGAGTCGTGCGCAGCCGTGGGTGAACAGGGAGTACAGGATGGGACTAAGCACGCACCCCTGAGGGGCCCCCGTGTTGAGGGTCAGCGTGGCGGATGTTTTGTTGACTACCCTCACAACCTGGGGGCGGCCCGTCAGGACGTCCAGAATCCAGTTGCAGAGGGATATGTTTAATCCCACGGTCCTTCGTTTATTGATGCGCTTGGAGGGCACAATGGTGTTGAACGCTGAGTTGTAGTCAATGAACAATATTGTCCAGGTGGGAAAGGGCAATAGAGTGGAGCGCAATAGAGATTGCGGCATCTGTGGATCTGTTGGGGTGGTATGTGAATTGGAGTGGGTCCAGGGTGTCTGGGATGATGGTGTTGATGTGAGCGATAACCAGCCTTTCAAAGTGTTTCATGATTACAGATGTGATAATCATTTAGACAGCTTACCTTGGCGTTCTTGGGCATAGGGACTATGGTGGTCTGCTTGAAACATGTACAGTACCAGTCAAAAGTTTGGACACACCTACTCATTCAAGGGTTTTTCTTTATTTTTACTATTTTCTACATTGTAGAATAATAGTGAAGACAACAAAACTAGAAAATAACACATATGGAATCATGTAGTAACCAAAAAAGTGTTAAACAAATCAACATATATTTCATATTTGAGATTCTTCAAAAAGCCACCCTTTGCCTTGATGACAGCTTTGCACACTCTTGGCATTCTCTCAACCAGCTTCACCTGGAATGCTTTTCCAAAAGTTTTGAAGGAGTTCCCACATATGCTGAGCACTTGTTGGCTGCTTTTCCTTCACTCTGCCGTCCGACTCACCCCAAACCATCTAAATTGGGTTGAGGTCGGGGGATTGATGAGGCCAGGTCATCTGATGCAGCACTCCATATCTCTCCATCTTGGTAAAATAGCCCTTACACAGCCTGGAGGTATGTTGGGTCATTGTCCTGTTGAAAAACAAATGATAGTCCCACTAAGCCCAAACCAGATGGGATGGCGTATCGCTGCAGAATGCTGTGGTAGCCATGCTGGTTAAGTGTGCCTTGAATTCTAAATAAATCACAGACAGTGTTACCAGCAAAGCACACCCACACCATAACACCTCCTCCTCCATGCTTTACGGTGGGAACTACAAATGTGGAGATCATCCGTTCACCCATACCGCGTCTCACAAAGACACAGCAGTTGAAACCAAATATCTACAATTTAGAGTCCAGACCAAAGGACACATTTACACCGGTCTAATGTCCATTGCTCGTGTTTCTTGGCCCAAGCAGGTCTCTTCTTCTTATTGGTGTCATTTAGTAGTGGTTTCTTTGCAGCAATTCGACCATGAAGGCCTGATTCACACAGACCCCTCTGAACAGTTGATGTTGAGATGTGTCTGTGACTTGAAGTCTGTGATGCTGCAATTTCTGAGGCTGGTAACTCTAATGAACTTATCCTTTGCAGCAGAGGTAACTCTGGGTCTTCCATTCCTGTGGCGGTCCTCATGAGAGCCAGTTTCATCATAGCGCTTGATGGTTTTAGCGACTGCACTTGAAAAAACTTTCAAAGTTCTTGTCAGTATTGACTGAACCTTATGTCTTAAAGCAATGATGGCCTGTTGTTTCTCTTTGCTTATTTGAGCTGTTCTTGCCATAATATGGACTTGATCTTTCACCAAATAGGGCTATCTTCTGTATACACCCCCCCCCCCCCCCCCCCCCCCCCCCCCCCTTCCTTGTCACAACACAACTGATTGGCTCAAATGTTTTAAGAAGGAAAGAACTTCCACAAATTAAAGAAGGCACACCTGTTAATTGAAATGCATTCCAGGTGACTACCTCATGAAGCTGGTTGATAGAATGCCAATAGTGTGCAAACCTGTCATCAAGGCAAAGGGTGGCTATTTGAAGAATCTCAAATATAAAATATATTTTGATTTGTTTAACACGTGTATGGTTACTACATGATTCCATATGTGTTATTTCATAGTTTTGATGTCTTCACTATTATTCTACAATGTAAAGAATAGTACAAAAATAAAGAAAAGCCATTGAATGAGTACCTGTGTCCAAACTTTTGACTGGTAGTGTAGGTATTACAGACTGGGTCAGTGAGAGGGTGAAAATGTCAGTGAAGACAATTGCCAGTGTGGCCCTGAGGCCTTGTCAATGTTAACCTGTTTAAAGGTGCTCACATCGGCTATGGAGAGCATGATCACACAGTCGTCTGGAACAGCTGGTGCTCTCAGGCATAGTTCAGTGTTGCTAGCCTCGAAGCGCGCATAGAATGTATCCAGCTTGTCTGGTAGGCTCGCGACACTGGACAGCTTGCGGCTGAGTTTCCCTTTGTAATCCGTGATAGTTTGCAAGCCCTGCCACATCCGACAAGCATCAGAGCCGGTGTAGTAGGATTCGATTTTGGTCCAGTATTGACACTTTGCCTGTTTGATGTTTTATCGGAGGGTGTAACGGGATGTCTTATAAGCGTCCGGATTAGTGTCCCGCTCATTGAAAGCGGCAGCTCTAGCCTTAGCTCAGTACGGATGTTGCCTGTAATCCATGGCTTCTGGTTGGGATATGTACATATGGTCACTGTGGGTCACATTTCTCTTTTGTTTTATGATTATCTTAGTGACAGAACTTAGGCCATCATGATTGATGGAGTTAAGTCTGAATTTCTTGAAGTACATAAAGGTGTTCCGCAGGGGTTGATACTAGGACCTGTTCTTTTCACTATTTATATAAATGCTATTGGTCAATCTGTTAAAATGTTTTAATTTAATCTATATGTGGATGATAATATTATGTACGCAATTGCTCCGACTGTTGACCTGGCTGTGACAAGGCTACAGTTGTGCAGGAAGCCGTTACTGATTTAAAACTTGTGCTTAATACAAGCAAAACTAAAAACATG